ATAAAAGAAACTTTTGACAGTTACAACAGCATATAACACTAATAAATACACAAAAGTATTATTATTTGGACTACAGTAGTACTTCCGAGTAACAATTATGCCTGACGAATAACAATTATGCCTGACGAAAATTATGCCTGACGAATAACAATTATGCCTGACGAATGATAAACTTATCTATTTATGCATTACAACGCATTTGCGTAATTTGTGTAATTTGATTTTTTTGATATTACTTATCAGATATCGTAATAGTCTATCTTTTTACGTTATCTATGACAAATACATTCATTGTGCGACATATCCGGAAATAAAATGATTTGAAAGTTCTAGAATTTCAAGAGATCTATTTACATCACGAGTGTTCGGAGTATGTTCCGGTCATTGCAAAATTATGCATGCAGCAAATCTTAAATTACGTAAATTATGTGTGTTCCGAAATTAGAATAATTTCGTAAGCCAATCAAATTTTAATATCATGTGCAATGTAACGATCAGGAAAATTCAACCTAAAAATTTAGTCTTTGAAACTTCTTTTTGCGCATTAATAAAAATCAATTTATATAATTAATATTTTCGAGCACTACAATAACCTAAAGCAAGGCCTTAATCTAACAGCACGAAATTTTATTGTGAAATACTTTGAAATTTTTTGGGTGCAATTCTATCATTGTCAAAAACTACAATTACAGTACATTGTGATTTACATTATAATGTAATTTTACAACTAATGATGTATTGGATTATACCAAGGCTAAAAAAGTTCGACCAAAATCAATAGCTATTACTACATTCGGAGATATTAATTTTTAAAAGTATATCAAGTACCATGATAGTTTAGTGGCCAATGTTATTTGCATTATTCTATTCAGAATTAAGCCAGTATTAGAACATATAATGCTGATTCAATATTTTGTACAGCGATCAAAAAATTATAGCAAAAATAATTAAAATAATTTCAAAAAAGTATTATTTTTATTTTTATTTTATATTAAATTTTAGGCATATGGGGTCTTTGCTTGAAAATGACCTTACGGTATCATGTACTGTAAGGTCATTTTCAAGGCAAAGACCCCATATATTACCATTACAGTCGTCCCTCGTTAATATCAACCCCGTTAATATCAACCTCTTGTTAATATCAACCTTTTATTAAGAACAAATATGCTTAAGAAATATAAAAACTATTCCTTTGTTATCAACCCTCGCATATATCAATATAATTGTCTAATTCAAATGGGTTGATATAAATGAGGGACGACTGTACCAATTAAGCAAAGCAATCTAAAAATTAATTACATTTTTTTTTGTACATTCGACTATAAATAATCCTTTAAATTTATTCCATTTTTTTCATTTACATTTTTTTTTTTTTTACAAAGATAATTAGCTTCAGCTAAAAAATGATTAGTTTACTTGTCCCAGTCATCGTGTAGATGTGTATCCTATGACTAGGTTTGTAACAACCTTGAGTTGTATCCATTAAAGAATGTAAGCATGGTGGCATAATCCAGTAATCACCCAAAAAAACAATCTGACCTATAATTAGTTATTTTAAATAAAGAAATCATGTTAACTATAAGCGGTAACTTATAATTATTGTCCATAGATACGTACGTAACGGAAAAATGTTTAATACATATATCTGATATATACAGTACTTTTTTTTGACACAAAACCAAATTTTTTCTGATTATATCATTCGCCTGATTGGTCACCTAGATTGATTGACGTGATTTAAAGTAGATCAAAAGTTAGGAGGTTTTGAAGATTATAACTTGCACCAAAATTATGAGAGGAGTCTTTTTTATTAGAGCACGAAAAGTGGTTTCATATCAGAAAAAAATTCTTTTTGTCGATTATGATCGACAAAGGTTTGAAAATAGACCAGTTACATTGATCTAGTTACGTAATCAAATATACGCAACAATTCTTCGTTAATTATTTATGCCACATATTAAAGCTATCCCGGAACTTTATCAAGCAAATTTATGGAAATACAAAACAGAAGGATGCTCAAATGTTATTCTAGCATTTATTGGAAAAAAAGAGAGATTTGTATGTTAACAACCAATTAAACCAATTATATTTATAGTCAAAGGTTGAAAATTTTGTGAAGGTATCGGCCTTGACTTAGTATGGCATGCTGGCTAAACGAAACTGAATTTTTGATCAGATTCATTAGCTTTGTTTAGTAAAAAAAAAAAAAAAAAAAAAAAGTCAAGGACAATTCTATTTTACTTATTCTCATACGGTCATTTTCGCAGATAGTTTGGAACAATTCTTCGACTTCGAAAGGCAATTATTACTAACCAAGATACAAGTATAGATAATGTTCATTCATTCGTAAATCAAGATTTGACAGATTTTTACGCTTCTTCTGTCATCGGTCCTCTTCTTGGTGACGAATATATTGGCAAATCTGTATGATCTCGTATCAAATATCTATTTCATATGCTTAATAAAAGTTATCCATTTATTTATACACAAAATAAATCTTATTTATTTACAGATATTACTGAAAGTCCCTCAACCATTTTTGAAGGAATTGTCAAAAGCTATCCTTCCTATGCGTCCCGAAAATCGAATTCATAAAGATATTGATTTCAATCAACCCTACGGTATATTAACATATGATCATACAAGATTCGCATCAGATACAAATCATACACTATCTATTGAACTTAAGGTGTTTTATTTTATTCAATTCTTTTTATTTTCTTTTTATTATTATTATTTTATTTCCTTCATTTTAACAATGTTTAATTCTTTCTTCATTTTGATCGCATTTTTATCAATCCGAAAGCCAAAGTGGGCTTTTTTACCTTCCTCTCCTTTCATAAATTCTGAAAAATTTCGTTCCTGCCGATTTTGTATGCACAAATACTTAAAGAAAATTTTATCTAACTATTGTCCGTTAGATTTGTTTTCTTTGGACGAAGTAAGATTGAAACGTGCAATTGAAGAGTTAAATTAGCCCAATTAAAAAATAGTTATTAATAATTTCATGTAAAACATTTATACA